CCCCAAACTATCCCTGGTCTTCAGGCTAAGGTACATACACTCGAAGTGTACTGTGTTCCGGACAGGTATCTTGGTCAAGGATAAGGTATTCTTATGAACCAGAGCCACTCCGCCTCCCCGCCGGGTTAGGGTTGAAGGACCCTTACGAATGCAAATTGAGCTGCTGATCTATAAATTTCCAGCCCTGTGCTCCAGGAGTTGTTGGAGATTATCTGACATACCTGGCTCCCAAATCAGACAGAAAGCCATCCATAAAAATCTACAGAAATTATCCCAGCCTACCCTCAATGCACCTCCAAGCCCCATACTGCTCCAGTAATCATTTAAATAAGAGTTAAATGTATTTGCTGCTCATTTCATTTCTCCCCCAGGGTTTTCAGATTTCCTAATGGAGACAAAGAGAGTCACATCTCAAAAGCACTTACAGACCATCTTGTACCTCACCTCATACTGTGTTCCTAGTCTCCCTTCCTGTCTAACTATCTTGGGGTTGTCCCAGATCCAGTCACTGTTTTCTTTCACTCCAAAGTTAAAGCCACCAGCTGATCTGGTCACTGTTGTCAATTCCAATGGAAGCTCATCAAGACTTTGTTATACTGTGTGGTAGCATCACATACCCCGCAAAGCAATGAAATAGGATATCAATATTAGCCACATTTCTAGCCTTATGTGTGCATTCAGGGTCACTCTCATGCAACGTATCACCCTCAGACACTGTCTGATAATCATCAGCCCCTCTAATTCCCTACTTCTCACTATCCAATCTTCCACTCCTTCCTTTCTGTTACCTTTGTATGGTTCTGAATGTTGCAGTGTTTTTGTGTATTTGTATGCATCTTCACACCTTTCTAAATAAAATCTTTATATTCATTGAAACCGGAGTCTCTCTGCAGATAGTACTAGTGTACGTAGGTGAAAAGATCCCTAAAATTACCCTCTTCTCGCTAATAATTTTCCCCAAATACCAAGGAGATACTGACATTGTTGGTGGGGATCCCAAGTCTCCCCCATCATCTTTTTGGGTAACATGATCCCATCACCATCATAAGCCCTGTTTGGTGACATGAGAGACAAGGCCTTTTCATTGGCTACTTCCAGCCTGTGGAACTCCGTCCCACAAAAACTAGGCTCTTTGCTCTCTTTGCACCAGCAGGCAGAGACCTTTTTATCTAGAGAGGCATTTATCTAGATAGACATGGTCTAGTTGCTGCAGAGGGGTCTTTTAATTTTGGTGGTGGTATTTTTCTTATTTGTTATTGAATTGGTTCCAATTCAATGTTGTTTATTTAATTGTTTTTTTAAACAATCATGATTAATTTTAATTAGTCCACACTAATCCAACCTGTTTGAACAATTGTGAAATGATGACTCAACACCTAGACAAATCCTACGGCTTCAGTGAGTCCACCTGAGACTGGTAACAGGATTCAGGCTTCTGTTTTAAATTGTTACATAACCTGCTTTTCAATCTGAGTTGTAAGGCAGGCTATAAATAAAAGCATACGTGGATGATATCAAGGAAGATAAAAGATTGTGTAACTGTAATTGGTAGCAGTCTTTTGAGTCATCAAGTTGTGTTGGACTTATGGCAACCCTCTGAATGAGAGATGTCCTTCAGCTCTTGCCATCAACACTCCCGCTCAGCTCTTGCAAGCTCAGGGCCATATCTCCCTTGATGGAATCAATCCATCTTTAATGTGGCCTTCCTCTTTTCCAATAGCCTCCCACTTTCCCCAGCATTATTGTCTTTTCTGTTGACTCATGTTGTCTCATAATATGGCCAAAGTACAACAGGCTCAGTTTAGTCATCTTTGCTTCTACTAATAGTTGCTCTGGGACCTGTTTATTTGTTTTTATGGTAGCTGATGTTATCTGTAGATCTCTCCATCAATATCACATTTCAGATGAGTTGGTTTTCTTCCTGTCAACTGTCTTCACTGTTCAGCTTTCACAGCAATATATAAAACTCAGAAATACCACAGCATGGATGATTCTGATGTTGATATCCAATGATATATCTTTGCACTCGAGGATCTTACCTAGTTTCTTCATAGCTGTCTTTCCAAGTCTTAATCATCACCACCAAGGCTCTGCAAACCAGCTGCTTGGCCAGTGAGGGTGGTAGTGGAGGAGGAGAGGGCAGTGGTGTCAATACACTGTTGGCTTGGCCAGCCATCTAGACAGTAAAGTGGCTTTGCATTGCTTTCATGTCAATAGATGTAGTGCTCGTGTAGTGCTCATCAGGGGCAGCTCCAGAGCAAAATTCTCTGGACTAAACCCAGATTATTTTGGCTGGTGTAGACAATGTGACCAGCAATGTTGGCAGATGAC